TATATATATTTCAATAGCATTTTGACGACAGCGAACTGATGAATATTGATGCTGATTGCACTGATATACATGAATTGAGCATCAAAAGCATATCGAGGAAGCGATATTCAGTCTCTCATATGAAGTTGACCATGACATACATGGAGTTGATCACTTATGGCAAATGACGGAATCTGAGTTCTGTGGTGTACTCTTTTGCATCCTATTAGAGTTAATTTTTGAATTCGGATGTTAGTTTTGAAAATATTGTGAAATAGCAAAATGTAATAAGGGCAGCGATATTGAAAGTAGTTCAGGTAGTTGGCATACCAATGTCCGTTCCACATCATTGACTTTTAATAGGAGCACTGTGGCCCACATCATTCTAGCTCACCAATTATGCTACAACTTCTCGATTTACAGATTTGAATTGAAAAGACCGATAGATGAGGTGATAAATTCTAGAGAACTGGAATTTCTCACAGCTGCGTTGACAAGAATCAATTATCGTTAGTTACTAGGCACCATTCAAAATGTGATAATAACTATGAACACAGAGACTGACAGCTGGAAAAGTTGATCATGAACAGTATGATATGAAATGTGAAAAACAAAGCTGACTTATTAATAGAATGAAACGATGATTCGTATAAGTACCACCTGGTCGAATCATCACCAACGTGAGGTTCGGTGGAGATCAACCGTCACTCGTTCGAAAATGAAGTGTACGTTCATGTTTGTTTCACTCAATGCACAACAAATGCGTGTTTGTTTTCTCTTTGTTTAATGACTGACTTTCAACAAAACATCGTTTAATCACTAACTTCTCTAATCAACCAACTAATTTGTTACATTCAGACAGAATTTCTTCATCTGATTTTTTTCTCCCCCAAACTTTATTATCTTCAAAAACAACGCAAACGAAAAAGTATATCGCCAAAACTGATTCATTACATTTTGAATGAAAAGGAGAATATTTCCTTGAATACGCGAATAGTTTGATTTGTAGCAATGCGCTAAATGAATGAATACTAAACGAGACAAATCAGACTATTGCTATGGTTGCCTGATTACTAGCATTCCAAGAAATTGAATCACAACATTGTAACAAGACAGAAATGGCCTATAAATTGTAGAAATAATCTCACGCTAATCGATACTGCGAGTATGAAAGAGGCGCCGAGAAGAACAGATATGAAACACAGGCGGAACATGCAAATTGATTCATTTGGTAAGTGAGCTCATTCGATGGATCTATTTGACAGTTTGTTCACGTCCATATCGAATGAGCACTGGCCACTGAATGCTGAGAAATTGTATTCTTGTTTTTCTCGCCGATATTATCATATGAAAACGAACGGAAACGGTCAGATGCACAGTTGATGCCAAAAAAAGGCATGAATTAGGTATCTAAGTACGTTGACGTATATAATATGAAATTAATCATTGTTCGTTCAGCTGTCATTACACAATTCAAAACAAATGTTATTCTAAAAAACTCGAGAACTGAAAGAGCACTTTCCTGCAACAATAAAAACCTCGAATGAGAGCATCTTGCAGACCGTTCCACACTAGAGGTCAACAGTTGGACAAGTTCAATAGCAGAGTGTTTGAAATGTTTATCTTCTTCACAATGACAAGATGTATGCAGGTTCAGCACCTTGCTACTGACTGTTTATGAATGCACCATTATAAGCACATCAGATTGAAGCAACGGCTTAATTTGCACGACAATTGTTGCAACTTATGCATTCAGTGTAAGTGTGACTGTGAATATACGTGCGATTATGCTTCAAAACCATCAATTATGGGAATGAGTTCGAAAACATCGCAACTTTACCATAAGAGAATTTAAAAAAAAACAAACAATGGTAACTAATTGTAAACGAGAGAGAACTGCAATCTAAGAAAAAGAATGACTCTTTCACTCATTCGAGCAACTATTTTCAAAAGTATTCTGAAGTCTCATTCTGAAACAACTGATGCACTTGGTATCATTACTGCCATTCTCATTCTGTATCTGGTTTGTTTCCAACAAGTTTTTCGTCGTCCGTTCGCCATTTCTTTCGGGATGGAGAAAATGGAATTGCAACAGACCTGTGCAATTCATTCGAGATAACATTCCGCGTAGAACACTTATTAAAGGGACTGAAAATGCACTTAAAAGCTTTCCGATGAAATTTTCAGCATGACCGTCGTAGAGGCGTTCACTGCAAAGAATCACAGAGCTAAACAAAAAAAAATTGATCACCTATTTTGGAAATGTAAAATTAGAAATGGTTTCAACGTGCGTTCTGCGTTCACCAGCTCACTTATTGTTAGAGATTGTGGATAGTAACACTCCATACGAACTGAATGAGGAGAAAACATGAGTTATTGATATAATATGACCGCTCAAAATGTGTCCCTATAAAGTAGAGTGCTGAACTATTAACGAAAGTCGTTGTTGGGCGTTGAACATGACTGTAAATCACAGCTGATCGAATGGACTAAAGAGTTCACAAACTTGTCATTAGAGGTAAAACATTGAGTCAATTGATAAACGACCAACAGAATAGCGGAATGAAAAAATACGCAGCTACAGTTGAAGCAGGTGAAATACTAAAGGAGAGTTCGGATGTAAGAAAATGTCACGAGTGAAACTGTTGGCAAAACGTTAGCTCGCTTCAGCATTTAAATTTCAAATAACAGATGAATGATTAAATGCCAGTAATTTAATGAAGTTGCAGTATAACAGCATTCACTTCATTTAGCCTGAATGTTCATGAAGAACAGTTTGATGAAGGAACTGATTCATCAGATAAAATGAAGCTGGTTGTATTGTATCGAAACTGGAATGAAAATGATGATTCGAGCTGAAGACGACGAATTGCTGAAAATGATGAGAGCGGAAAAATTTTTTTAAAGTGCAGTCAACGATGTCACGATCAAAGCGTGCTCATCAAAACAATAATGCTCTTCACAAATGAGCGTTAGCGCAATAGTTGTTTCCGTCCGATACAGCTCTGCACTCGAGAAAGAAACTGCTGCCCAAAGCACTTCTCGACAACACTTACACTGAATGAGGCGGTGTTTGCTGTTCTCTGTGCCGCGGTCATGCTCATTGTGTCATGACTATCGCTTCTCAACTAGTGCTCGCAATAGCCACTGCAAACGACTTACACATTTGTGACTTGAGAAGATTACTTTAATGGGCCAACTAGTAACCGTTATAACTAATCCATTACGGTCATGTCTTTTTTAAACGTTTTTCAAGCGTGCCAAGTACATGCATTCGTAATCATCTCATTGCACATTTCCAAATACATACTCAAAAGCATGTTCAAGATCGTGCTGCAAAAAAACATTTTTTCGTTTAGTTCTGAAAAAAATCTCCAGGAAGTGTGCACAAAACTTTGTTATGCATTAAAAAATCAGGCAATTCACAACCCTAAGATATTCGTTGTTTTCCACACGTTGAGCTGATGATAAGAAAATAGATTGACAAATAACTAAGCCGTATCGGTTACAACAACACTTTGAAATTACAACAGTTTCGTCACATAATTTTTTTCGCAATTATAACAACACATGTTGCGACACATCACCCGCAAAATAACTCATGTTTTTGTTTTGACAGAAACAGCCAACGTTCAATCAGCGATAGATTTTTATGCACTCCCAGAATGGACACTCAAATAGCCGATCTCTAAAAATGTCATTCCAGTTGAAATTAATGTAACAACTTGACATGTGAGGAGGAGAGTCGTACGGAGGTATGAAATCATTCAGTGTTAGTCAATAACTGAATGCAAAAGTAATGCAATTCTATAGATGTACGAACCTGCTGTTTGCTACATCGCAATGATCATCGTTTCACAACAAAATTAATTACCTCTTGCGTGTGAGCAGTTTGTTATGTATAACACGACGTAGAACAACGATAAAGAACAATAAATTCAACTCTTAATCAACATTAAATGGTTTTACATTCGTGGAATACTAGGCATTGCTAACTGCAAAGAATTCGTTAAACTTTCAGACATGTGAATATTGGAAGACGAGTGTTGAAGCTACGGCTGTAAGTTGTGCACCTCTGAATGGTCCTGCTGGAATTGGAGCCTTTCAAATTCATTTCATATCTACGTGACAATTCTCACGTACTGAAGTGTTCTCATGATACAGTAGGTTTGTCTTAACAGAAACATTTCCACAACGCTTTGACCAGTGAATTGCTATAGTTCTCAATGAACTGAATGATACTCTGAGCGACATTTTTCAGCTTCGAAGACACAGCATTCATCGCACTTCATTAGCGTGAGTACTCTAAAACCTTGCTCACATTGAAAAAAAAATCATTATATCTGTTTCTCGATAACGTAGGCGAAATCCAACCCCCACAACTTGTAGTTGTATACCATTCTAATATTGTAACAGCCCTGAAATCCATACCTAAGTGAATATGAGCAT